CAAAGGGCAGATAGGGAGCAGGGATAGGAGCCAGCATAAGCGGGCGAGATTTGTAGGGTATTCTGATGACTTCAGAGGCAATGTCAGGCCCCAGTCTTCGAGGAGTTCGGCGCCATCTGTAGCTAGTGCTCCTCCACAATTCCAGAGGCCTCGATATGATCGATTTACCTATTTAGGTCCAGGTCAGAGTTCGCGGGCATCAGGCTCGCAATATCACAGAGATACTAATCAGACGAGACCCCTAACACCACGTTGTGATCAGTGCGGTAAGGCCCACTTTGGACTGTGCCGTCGAGGTTCTGATGCGTGCTATTCTTGCGGACAACCTAGCCATATGATACGGGATTGTCCTAACAGAGGAGTTGGTGGTATGGCTCAGCCGACCGGATCTGTGTCTGGTTCTTCCTCATCAATTCGACCTCCAGCACGGGGTTTTCAGCAGTCGACAGGTCGAGGTAGAGGTAGAGGTGCAGTGCAGAGTTCGAGTGGTGCTCAAAATCGAACCTATTCTCTAGTAGGTCGACAGGATCTCGAGTCATCTCCAGATGTTGTTACAGGTATATTGTCTGTGTTTTCTTATGATGTATACGCGCTGATTGATCCGGGATCTACATTATCATATGTTACACCCTTTGTGGCTAATAAGTTTGGCATTGAACCTGAATTGATAAGTAAACCCCTTGCGGTATCTACTCCGATAGGAGATTCTGTGATTGCTAGAAGGGTATATAGAGGTTGCACTGTGATGATTTGTAGTCGTCAAACCTCGGCAAATTTAATTAATATTCCATTGGTTGACATCTTACAAGAAGTACCCAAATATGCAAAGTACATCAAGGACATTATGGCAAATAAAAGGAGGCTAACCGAGTTCGAGACTGTGGCACTCACTGAGGAGTGCAGTTCAAGAATTCAGGGCATGTTACCGCAGAAATTGAAGGATCCAGGTAGTTTCACTATCCAAATCTCGATTGGTAAAACTGTTATTGGGCGAGCTTTATGTGATCTTGGAGCAAGCATCAATTTGATGCCGCTATCGGTGTTCAGACAGTTGGGTTTGGGTGAGCCACGCCCAACAACAGTTATCTTACAGTTAGCTGATCGCTCCCTTGCTCATCCTGAGGGAGTGATTGAAGATGTGCTAGTTCAAGTGGGTTCCTTCATATTCCCTGCTGATTTCATTATCTTGGATTACGAGCCTGATCAGGAAGTCCCATTTATTTTGGGGCGTCCATTCTTAGCCACGGGCCGAGCTATTATCGATGTTTGCGAAGGAAGAATGACAATGAGAGTGGGTGATCGAGTGGAGGTCTTGAATGTTTATAGAGCACTCAAGTTACCAGCCCACTATGAAGAGTTATCCATGATCTCTGTGGTGGAGAGTGATGCTACATCGTTAGTGCCCTATATGAGCCCTGTAGATCCTGTTGAACGAGTATTGATTGGGGATGTAGAAAATAGTGAAGATGAAATGATGGGAGAAATTGAGCAAGTACTGGATATGTCCTGCAGTTATGTCCAGGGGTTTAGAGGTCTCGACCTCTATTGCATGCTGTTACACGTCCCTTCCTATCAGTCCCGGAGGAATTTGGGACTCCTATCCTAAAAAGAGGAGGGGGGTTCTAGGCAGACCCTCAGGTTTAAAGGCAAAATACTAGGCGACAAATAAGAACACATAGGACTGCATTTAGGGGGTAAAACACGGAAATCAGATAGAAGGCTCAGATATACCTCCACAAGTAATGCACACAGACATCACGACTCATACACAACTAAGGTCTAAATTCAAATCCTAACCAGGTATTTAAGTGGTAACAGTAGAACCAGATTTATTACATGACTAGAAATGGTTGATTTTGATGTGATAATGGGAATGGATTGGTTGGCCTCATGCTATGCAAATGTTGACTGTCTTACGAAGATGGTTGGGTTTCAGTTTCCTGGTGAACCCGTCATTGAATGGAAGGGGAACATTGCTACGCCGAAAGGTAGGTTTATTTCCTATCTTAAGGCAAGGAAGATGATCTCAAAAGGTTACATTTATCATCTCGTTCGCGTTAGGGATGCGGAGGCGAAGCCGCCTACTCTACAATCAATCCCCGTGGTCAATGAATTTCCAGATGTTTTCCCAGATGAACTCCCAGGCCTTCCTCCTGAGAGGGAGATTGAGTTTAGCATTGATGTGTTGCCTGACACTCAATCGATCTCTATCCCTCCATACAGAATGGCCCCGGCAGAGTTGCAAGAGTTGAAGGCGCAGTTGAAGGACTTACTGGATAAGGGCTTCATTAGGCCTAGCACTTCACCTTGGGGTGCGCCAGTCCTGTTCGTGCGGAAGAAAGACGGGTCGTTACGGATGTGTATCGACTATCGACAGTTGAATAATTTTACTGTAAAGAACAAGTATCCACTTCCAAGGATTGACGACCTGTTTGACCAACTCCAGGGTGCCAAGTATTTCTCCAAGATTGACTTACGTTCAGGGTATCATCAGGTGAGGGTCAAGGAGAAGGATATTCCAAAGACGGCCTTCCGGACAAGATATGGGCACTTTGAGTTCTTGGTGATGTCGTTCGGGCTAACAAATGCCCCAGCAGCTTTTATGAATCTCATGAATACTGTATTCAGTCCCTATCTTGATGTGTTCGTGATCGTATTCATTGATGACATTTTGGTGTATTCTCGTTCGGAGGCTGAACATGCGGGCCACTTGCGGATAGTATTACAGACGCTTCAGGATCGTAAGTTATATGCTAAGCTCTCCAAATGTGAATTCTAGCTGAACTCAGTAGCATTCCTTGGCCATGTGATATCTGACGAGGGTATTAGTGTCGACACTCAGAAGATCGATGCAGTAAAGAATTGGCCGAGACCTACAACACCATCAGAAGTCCGCAGCTTCCTGGGGCTAGCAGGATATTATAGGCGATTTGTTGAAGGGTTTTCCTCTATATCGGCACCATTGACTAAGTTAACACAGAAAGCTACTAAATTCCAGTGGTCTGACGCTTGTGAACGAAGTTTTCAGGAGTTGAAGAATCGATTGACATCTGCACCAGTGCTCACTCTTCCTGAAGGACTAGAAGGTTATGTGGTATATTGTGATGCCTCAGGTATAGGTTTGGGGTGCGTATTGATGCAACGTGAGAAGGTGATTGCTTATGCATCAAGACAATTGAAGAAGCATGAAAAGAATTATCCAACCCATGATTTGGAATTGGCTGCAGTAATATATGCTTTGAAGATATGGCAGCACTACTTATACGGCGTCCATGTTGACATCTACACAGATCACAAGAGTTTACAATACATCTTCAAGCAGAAAGAGTTGAATTTGAGGCAGCGTAGGTGGCTTGAATTACTGAAAGACTACGACGTCGAGATATTGTATCATCCCGGTAAAAGCAAACTGTTGTGGTAGACGCTCTCGAGCCGTAAGTCAAATGGGGAAAGCTTAGTACATATTGAAGGCAGGTAGATGGGGGTTGAACTAAAAGAGC